GATAGACACTAGGCATGGTGTTGGAACATCCCTTGGGGTGTGGGAGCTGTGGAAATAGTGTGGGGAATTATGCAAGCAATGAAACGGGGCTACCCCCCTCAGGCACTCTGTGTCCCTGTAGCTTGTGGAGTCCTCCAGTTCCCAGCAGCAAGCAGTCATGGTCATCTTCCTCATCTGAATACCGACAACCCTTCTTCAGAAACATCTAATAACACCTGCTGCCACCTGAACAGGCACAAGACTGAGAGACATGGCATGCCTTTTGTTTGTTTAATTTCTATTAAAAACACTAGCCTATTTCTTTTCAGGCTTTGTTAGGAAGAAAGAAAGGTCTTTTCTCTGGCCTCTGGTTTCCAATGATCTTTGGCTGCAACTTAAACAAGAGAGGCTGGAGACCATCATCAGCAAATTCTGATGACCTGAACCCTATTCCTAGAGCCCACAGAAAGCTAGGACAGACATGACTCCACGGAGTTGTCCTCTGACCTACACATGTGTTTCATGGTACAGGATTCCTGTACTCACATTCACAACACACACACACACACACACACACATGTTCACATACACACACATACTCACATTCACTCACACACACACAGAGAGAGAGAGAGAGAGAGACAGAGAGAGAGAGAGACAGAGAGAGAAAGAGAGAGAGAGAGGGAGAACGAGAGGGAGGATTGAAAGAAGGACTTCTCTGTCAGTGAAACAGTCATGAGATCTGCATGGCATGTCTGGGTCATTGTCAGGTCTCTCATTGGGTTTTGCTCTGTGTCATTGCTTCTTTCAGACAACATTGCATGGCTGTCTTTTGTTTTTTTTTTTGTGGGAAATAAGGTTTGCTGGACTTTATCTCCTCCCTGTCACAATGTTCTGACTTGGGAGGATTTTGAGGACACTAATGAGATCACTCTCAAACTTATATGTCAACAAGTCCTTTTAATACACCAAATTAAAGTTTGTGTTCCTGATGTTCACAATTATGGTGGGCAGAATAAGAACTCCTCCCAAGACACGACATTCTAATCTTGAGGACCTGCAAATACGCTGTATCACAAAAGGGGCATGGCAAATGTGATTAAGCCTGGCACATTCAAATGAGGTCAGCGTGGCGTTTCCAGAAGGTCCCACACTTTTCATAAGTCCTTAAAAATGGTAAGAACTTTTCCTGGCTATGATAAGAAAGAAATGGGGCAGAAGGAGAAGGGTGAGGCATATGCCAGTGTGCTGGCTTATTTTATTTATATTTGAGATAGGCTAGCCTGGAACTCACTCTGTAGCTCAGGCTGGCCTCCAACTTCTGGCATAGTCTCTCAAGAATAAACTACCATGCCTTGCTTTGAAGAAAGAAGGAACCACAAGCTCAGTTATGTGAGTGACTGCTAGAAGGAAAAAGTTTAGAAAGGACAAGAAAACAAATAATGACAAGGAGTGTCCTCTTCCCTAGAGCCCCCAGGAAGGACAATCCTGTCCACATGTGGACTTGAGTCCATTGAGGGTTCTGTTAGATTTCCTTGTTAACATTTTATATTGGGACATAGAAATTGCAAGTACATCGGGCAGTGATGGCATATGCCTTTAATCCTAGCACTCATGAGACAGAGGCAGGTGGATCTCTGTGAGTCTGTGGCCAGTCTGTTCAAGACCAGAGATAGTTATAGGACAGTCAAGGCTACACAACGAAATCCTGTTTTGTCTCAAAAAAACAAAACAACAGGAAGAAATTGGATTTATTTATTATGTAGAACATGACTTTTAAAATGCATGTACATTGTGGAATGGCTAAATTGGGCTAACAAACAGGCTTTATTCACATACTTACTTTTCATGGTGAGAACACTTACTATGTACTGCCTTGAAGATTTTCAAGAATACTTGTTTATTGACTACAGTTACCACATCATATAGTAGGTCTATTCAGCTTATTCTTCCTCTTCTTAAATGAATGTGAGGTTTCTAACTCCATACAGCTATATGAAAATACACATGTGCTGTTTCAAGACATGGACTTGGTGATCATTTTTTTCTTAGTGGCAACAGAAAATTAAGCAACCATTTTTTGAAGAGTTTCTTCTGTTTATCAAGCAAGGTGTGAGGATGGGAGTCAAGGTGCTTTCACGGTGTGTGCATGTGTGTGTGTGTGGGGGTTTGTGATTGAATGCAGGGTCTTGGGTGTGCTAGATAAGCACTCTGAGTGGCTTCTCCAATCTTCAAGAAACTGCTCTTTTGGAAAAGGCTGATGCACTCTTCTAAATGTGGTTATGCTGATCTTCAAATCGAAAGCCTTAAAAAGGCTGAGTTATTAGCTGGGCGTTGTTGGCATAAGCCTTTAATTCCAGTACTCGGGAGGCAGAGGAAGGTGGATCTCTGAGTTTGAGGCCAGCCTGGTCTACAGAGTGAGTGCCAGGATAGGCTACAAAGCAATACAGAGAATCCCTGTCTCGAAAAACAAAAACAACAAAACAACAAAAAGGTTGAGTTCTTTGAACAAAAATAAAGTAAAACAACACTGATGATGCCATCCAAAAATCACAGTAATATCTATACATTTTTAGGCTCTATGGTAAAACTAGTGAAATTGGATAAAATATGAGCTGAGAATGCTTTCAAAAGGCTTAAAACAATAATGGTCCTTACACTTGGAAGTGTAATTTATGTTTTCCATAAATCCCTTCCTTCCTTCCTCCCTCACACCCTATCTTCCTTCCTTCCATCCATATCTATCATTTAAAATTATATCATGTCATTTTATAGTACAATAATCCCTGTGAGGAAATGACTGATAATGTCTGATTATTTTTCCTTCAAGAACCAAATCCAGGTTTGCTGTCTCAAAATCTACCGCCCTTTGCGGTATGCTAAGCAGAAAGTTTAGTATAGTGTTTATAAGCACAGATGCTGAAACCAGACTAACTTGGATCTTGGCCCTGCTCCTCACAGCTGTGTGGTCTTGCAGAAAGTATTTAACCTTTTTGGTGTCATGTTTCCTCCAACTGCAGATTAGGGAAAATGATAATAGCTAATCATAGAGTTATAGGATCAAACACATAAAATATTTCAACATCAGGCTGGCATATATTATTATAATATGTTGGGGCAAGTGGCAGCTAATGCAGGCTCTATGACCCAGACTGACCCCAGACTTTACTGACCTGGTGCCCATACCCAGCAAGTAGGAGACTCTCATTTGCTGCAGAAGTGGGATGGTCAGGTCCAAAGCTACCCTCAGCCCCAAATGGCAGTACTAGTGACATTGTCCTAAACAAAAGGACTCTGGCTAGGTAAACAGAGCATTGCTATCAGGTAAACAAGCCTACAGCTTTCTGTTAAATATAAAGGTAGATCTCTTAAGGAAGCTTTGGTTCATGAGGAACCCCTGTTAATCCTCCAGGAACCCCCTTAACCTTGCCCCAAAGGCCAACTACCTTTGGGAAGGGCACCTGGTTCTGGATCAATCTGGACAGTTTGCATCAATTCAGACCCCCACCACCCTGCTGACTGTCATACACAATCTGCTTGCTTTTCCATCTTTTTGCCCAGTTCCCCATAGATGGTCTTGGCAGCTCAATTCCTCAATAAGTCTTTCTTGGATAGTTTCTCTGCCCCATTCCTTAGAGAGACAAACTCCCCTAGTGCTGTACCTTCTCTAAGGTAAGGGTTGACTCGTGAAGACTTTAATCATGTATGTGATCAAAGAATATTACTGCTTTGTGGGGTGATCTTGAAGTGTAAGACAGAAAACTAATTTAGCATCTTGCAAGGTTTTATCCCATTCTTAAAATAAATTACCCAGAGTTAGGAAGGTAAAGTTAGAGACTTAAGCAGAATGTTTTCACGGACGATCTTGGACAGTAGGAGTCAGAACTATTTAATCTTTCTAGATTCTGAAACCAGCTAAAATGCTGACATATTTGGGCATCTCATACATGAGTTATTTATTCATACTTTTCTTGTGTTGCTAAAAATGAGGACATAGAGAGGACTCTTTCCCTATTGGTAAGTCTCATATTTGTGTCCCTTTTTCTGTTAATGTTTTTTTTTTGCTGTGAGAAAATTTCATAATTTAGTTTCTTCCTTCTAGTTTCTACTTTGATATAGAATCTTCCCTCCCTCTCTCCCTCCCTCCTTCCCTCCTCCTCTCCCTCCGCCTTCCTTCTTTGCCCCCTCCCTCCTTCCCTCCCTCCCTCCCTTCCTTCCCTTTCCTCCCCCCCTTTCCTTCTTGCCTCCCTTCTTTCTTTCCTCTTTATCCCCGTTTCTCATCCAGAGTGATGGACAGGAAATAATTATGTTAAGGCTATCCTAATATGATTTATCAAATCACTTATTGAACTTTGCACCAAGACAGTGATGACTTGGAACACTGAACTCCATCAGATAAGAGGATGCCAGGGGATCTCTGGCTGGTGATAAACAGTTTAGTCTCAGTTGCTCTTTTCAATACTGCAGGCCTTATCTGGCAAGGTTTATTTTATTTTATTTTATTTTATTGAAGCTGATTCATTTATTTATTTATTTTCATTTTACATACCAACCCCAGTTTCCCTTCCCTCCCCTCTTCCCACCTCCCAATCCCACCCCACCATTCACTTCTCAGAGGAGGAAAGGCCTCCCTTGGGGAGTCAACAACGTCTGGCGTACCAAATTGAGGCAGGACAAGCCCCTCTCTCCTGTATCAAGGTTGAGCAAAGTATTCCGGCACAAGAAATGGACACCATAAAGTCAATTCATGCACCCAGGATAAGTCCTGGGCCCACTCTGGCAAGGTTTATGATTGCTTGGTCAACCCCAGCTTGGAGGGTCTCAGAGTATGACAAGGTAGTTCTGTAGCTCTGTCATTTGAACAACCCCTTCTGTGGTAATTTGAATATATCTGGCCCCCATAAGCCCATAAGGAGTGGCACTATTAGGAGGTATGGCTTTGTTGCAATGGCTTTGTTGTATGACTTTGTTGGAGGAAGTGTGTCACTGTGGGATGGGCTTTAACAACTCATATGCTTAAGTCATGTCCAGTGCCTCAGACCATTTCCTGTTGCCTGACAATCAAGATGTAGGACTTCTCAGCTGCAGAGCCATGCCGCCTGCCTGTCACCATATCCTACCATGATGGTAATGGACTAAACCTCTGAAACTGTAAACCACCCCATTAAATGTTTTCCTTTATGAGAGTCACTGTGGTCACGGGGTCTCTTCACATCAATTAAAACCTTCCCCAAGACATCTTCTAATGTGTCACCAGATGGACAGCATGGAGTCCAGAAGTACCATTGTATCTGCTCATTGTGTTCATACTTGAGCATGACTAAAAGAATTATACATATGTACATTCTCATACATATCACCTATTAATTGTTGAAGGTGACCTGCCAACAGGCAATTTCTGTCAAACTGATCTGGCCCTGGTGCTCCAGTACCCTTCTCTAGGTAAGATGAACTGTCACCTCCACAGAGTATCTCAGGCGCCATAATCATTCCAACCCCCAACTTTAACCTCTGCACTCCAGATACAGTGGTTGGAGACAGGGTCTCATAGTGTACCCCGGCTGGCCTGGGACGACCTATGTAGAGCAGACAGAGATCCACCTGCTTTGATCTCCAGAGTCCTGGGCTTAAAGGCTCACACTACCACACCCAGACCATCACTGTCTTCTGGTCATGAAATAATAATATAATATAGTAATATAATATAACATAGCTGTACGCAACTCCCCTGCTGTCCTGGTAACTGTCCTTCCTCCTCTGCCCTCCCCAGGCACATTGTACAAAAAGCTCTGCTTGCTTTGATGAGTTTGTCTTTGGAGGGGCTGGTGATCTGGGCAAATCTTGCAGTGTGCATCAAAAGACAGCTCAGAAAGTCTCTCCTACAGATAATTTTCAGGAACTGTTATTTGTTCCTCTCATTTTTGCCTTTGAGAATCAGATGGTAATTCCTTCTTTTATTTCCTCTGGCCTGGGACCCTCACTGACATATTTTATGAGATTGCCATTTTTACTATTATTTGAACACAGTCGGTGAGACTTTTTCCCCTCTGTGCTCCTTTTCTCAGACATTCTACAAAGCAACCCGACATTCCCGATGCCACTCAGCTCTGCTAAACAAAGTTCCTGATGGAGGAACCTGGTATCTGACTACATTGTCTTCACCAGCACTGCCAGCAGCTCAGTGCTCACAGGAGCTGTCACATAAAAAATGAGCTACACAGAAAATGAACTGCTTTCCCTTCAGCTACGGGACCTCAACGGGTAAGCAGAGAACACAAGATGTGTCACAAGGTCACAGCTACCTCAGCCCTTCTCTTATCCTTTAGCCAGAAACTACTCAGTTTCCTCCCTCCTTCACCCCTAAGCCTTTTCTTCACTTTAATTCTGACTTCCTGGAGCCAGAAGTTAGAGCATCTTGGAGCAGAATTCCTTTACTAAGCTTCCGCCATGTTTTCCTTCCATTAGTCCATCCTAACCCACAGCCACTGCTCGAGACCAGAACATCCTTCTGTAGCTGCTGATCTCAAGGGATTCTTCCTGTCATTGCTAAAGCTATGTCACGTGACCATACCACCCATTAGAAATCTTTAGCGGCATCACATCCGGGGTTATGTCTGGTCCATCCTAGGATTTGCTTTGTCTTTCATCCCTGACGTTCAGGGTTTGTCACATGGAACTTTAAATGGCGTAGCTTTGAGCTTCTTCTTTTAGCCTGTGGTGCCCTTTCTCTCTTCGCCCATCTTAACTTTGGTTTAAAAGTCACCTGAAGACGTTCCTGAATGCTCATTTCTAGAGAATGAGGGTTCAGCATCTCATCAAAAGCTTTCAGCTGATTCTCTTTGCCTGTGATCTTTACTTTGTATCTTTTGTCTTCTCTGGTATTGGAGGACATCATTGATATTTCAATAACATAAAAAACAATCTTCTTTTGGGAAAATGTGTTTGTTTGTTTGTTTGTTTGTTTTCCCCGAGACAGGGTTTCTCTGTGTAGCTTCGGAGGCTGTCCTGGAACTCACTCTGTAGACCAGGCTGGCCTGGAACTCACAGGGATTCACAGAGATCCGCCCTTCTGCCTCCCAAGTGCTGGGATTAAAGGTGTGTGCCACCACCGCATGGCAAACATGTTTCTGAATGAAGAATTGTATTTTAAGTGATAGACTTCGGGAGGACAAATACTCATAAGATTGGACTGTCTCCATTACTAGTCTATATTTCTACCTGAAAACCCTAGGTCATTTCTACTCCCTCCTCCCCTGAGGCAGTTCTAGTGTCAATCTGGGCTAACTTCATAGAAATATAATTGCCAAACAGCTGGCTGTAAGCAATGAGATATAAATGAGCCACTAAAGGCTTTGTGTATTTACAATAAGAACTAGAAAGTGGCAGTTCGAAGCCGAATAATGCAGAATGCCTGCCGTTTAATTCTGATGATTTTGCATAATGACACTGTCTTCTTTCTTAACTACCACAATGACCGTGGGCCCTGGTGACCATGGCCTTCTATTTCAAAGACTTTTCTCAGTAAGAATCAGCCTCATCGCAGCAGCTTTGTTTAATGCCTTCTGAGCTGGCACCCAGCTTCGGAGCATCCTCAGGTATTATTCCTTTTATCCTTTGTTCTCTGGATAATGCTCACTGAATTCAGCTTACCTTACTGGATGGAGAAAGTAATGATTACATCAGTTAGGGCTCTAGTGATTGAACCAGCATTTCTAAATGGTTCAAATCAGAAGGTCCCTTATAGGCTTTGTAATATAGAAAAGCCTAGAAGTGGGCCTCTGTAACAGGCATAGCAAGTGTCCCCTGAAACCCTTTCCCTACTTATTTTTGAGCAAAAAAGCCCTGGAGTTTAAAGTTGGAACCATTTTACCTAGCCACACCCATTTCCTCTAAATCTTCTGTGACACTATGGCTGACTGTCTACCTCCTGCTTCTTAGAGGTGATGTAATCAACTTCCACAGTGTATCTCTCAAACTGTGGTTCTGAGTGCGGGGCGGGCGTGGGGCATGGGGACTTCTGGCAGCATCTGGATACATTTCTCATGTCACCACAGAGAAAAAGGGGGCTGCTATGGAAATTTAGGGGGGATTCTGCTAAATATCCTACAATACACAGGATAGACCACAACAGAAAGGATGAGGTCTAAATATCAATAGAGGGGCTGGAGAAATGGCTTAGTAGATAAGAGCACTGACTGCTCCTCCAGAGGATGGAGGTTCAGTTTCCAGCACCCACATGGGCATCTCACTGTCTGTAACCCCAGTTCCAGGGGATCTGACACCTTCACACCAATGCACATAAAATAAATTAAAAAAAGATACCAACAGAAATGAGCTTGATAAACCCCACCTCGGAGTCCACTCTGGCTCTCTGTCTTTCTTTAGGACACAGGTGTGAGGAGTGGGCTGTGGGGCTGCCTTGGCCATGCCTCACCAAGGTGAAGATAGCAGGACAAGAAGGCAGGAAGAGCCTACATCCCCTCCCCGAACTACCTACCTGGCCGGCCACACTATCACCCATGGGTTTAAGGAAGAGGAGGAAGTGGAAAACTAAATCTTGTCTTTTGGGTTATCCCCACCACAGCAGTTCAGTGGGGTGCATGGGCGGTATGAAGTCAGTGATGTCAGCAGGCTCCAGGTTTGCCCACGTCTCTCTCTGAGACGTTCATCTTAAACTGCACATGGTAGCCTTGTCGGCCTTTCTAGATTTTCTTGTTCAGAATACAAATATAAACAGCACCAGCAGTGTCCCTTATGATCACAAAATACTATTTGAAGGGAAAAGAGTCTACACCTAGTATTACCAAGAAAGCTCCAAATTTACTCTGATTGGACAGTGCAGAGAAAATTCCTGCTCTAAAAATCCATTTGCTAAATGGAGTGAGCCAAAGAAGTTTAGATCTGAGAACTAGGTCCCTCTTCAAAAGAGTAAGGAGGAAGGACCACAGTGACTTATTTTTAGAGGTAGAGGCAGGATCTGCTCCATTCAGAGTTCAATGCTAAGAGCAGAAGAGAGGATGGCTCTCAGCCGGACAGTGGCAGCACACACCTTCATCCCAGCACTCAGGAGGTAGAGGCAGGCGGATCTCTAAGTTCGAGGCCAGGCTGATCTACAGACTGAGTTCCAGGACAGCTAGGGCTGCTACACAGAGAAAACTTGTTTCATAAGAACAAAAAAACCAAACCAAACCAAACCAAACAAACAAAAAACAGGAAGAAAGGAAGGGAGGAAGGACGGCTGTCAGCAGGCATCAGAAGGGTTTAACCCAAAGGAGGGCTGGCAGATGGGAGGGAACCGGTGAGTGTTTATGGTGTTTTCAATGATGGCCTCTGCCTAAACTTGGGAATGTAATCAAAATTATTTGTCAAGAAACATTTCTCATATTCAAGCAGGTTCCTAGAAATGAACCACCAAACACTTGTCTAAAGTGGCCTAGTAGTGGGAGAGACTATGGACTGCAAAAAGGTAGATTTAGGACTCACCATTTCTTTGTCAAATGCAGTTTTTCCTTCTTACTTGGCACTTACTTGTTCTATGAGTATGGCAATTGTTCAGCAGTAGACAAATAATTAAATAGCCATCAGGTTCAAAGGACTAACAATTTTCAGTTCTATCAGTGACAGTTTCAGCATATTTACTTGAGGGGATCTTTATAAATAATTTATAAGCATTTGGAAAAGACTGTATAAGAGAGTTGGTGTGTCTCTATAGTTTAAAATGACTGTACAGATTAAAATGCTCCCTGCAATGCTATAGCAAGGTTGTAACATTAAAAATATATTCTGGGGAAATTTTCCAAGTGAGCATACAACTTAAAAATAAATTTACATTGGTTAAGTGCAATGCTTACTAGAAGAAAACAACATTGTATAAATGACTACCACAGAGAAAACCAACCCTATTTTAGTGAGACAGATCGGAAAATAGCAAAGGTTGATTTAGTTCATTAATGGTGGCAGCATGCTTTGAAGAGACAAAAAGCACAAAGGCACAATGCTAATCCTGAATTAAATGGAAGGCATTTTCTTTTTAAACACTGGTGGTGGAAACCACCAAATTCCATCTATCATTTTGAGGATCATCTAATGGTTTTTATGTGACTTCAAGCTTCCTGAATAATAACATGGGAATGCACAGACACAAAGTGGAAAGAGAGAGGAGAGAGAGAGAGAGAGAGAGAGAGAGAGAGAGAGAGAGAGAGAGAGAGAGAGAGAGAGAGAGAGAGAGAGAGAGAGAGAAGCTAGCCAGAGGAGATTTCACGGCTGGGGTGCGTAATGTGAAATAAGAGAGCTATGTGTGTATAGTGCTCCACTTCTAGGAGAGGAAGGAGTGCATTGTGTTTGAATGAGCTGGGTTTTTTTTTTTCCTGTTCAGTTTTTATGGATGAGCTTTCCAACTGTAACTCAAGGTTATTTCTCTTACTCAGGAAAATCTCTCATGAGTAGATAAGGTAATAATTATACTTGATGCTTTCTGAATGGCTATAAAAAGTTTGGTGGAATGAGCAAGGATAAACTGTTTGTATGAGATGACAAACAAAATCCAGCAGAAAAATGGTCAAAATGATTCAGAAAGCAAAACAAAATATCGGACAACAAATCTAGCTGAATACATCCCATTTGGGGGAGACTTCGGCTTGGTCTTTTATGGCAGAGGGAAAGGCCCTTAGTGAGATACCACATTGAAAAAGACTAGACATTTCCAATTGATAAAATACATGGGGGATATGGTTACTTTGTGATAGTGCTATGTTTCTAAGTATATGCAATGTAACAAATGGATGCTACTTGTACGTAGTGCAAACAAGCACAAATGGAACAGAGGCATCCTCACACGCCCTATGCCTAAGTGGGGTTGATGCTGTTATAGGTTTTTATCCAAGGGTCATCTAATTATTTCTTTTTTCCTTATTCTTCTTGGTTTTTCAAGACAGTGTTTCTTTGTATAGCCTTTCCTGTCCTGGAACTCACTCTATAGAATAGGCTGGCCTTGAACTCATGGAGATCTGATGGGGGATGTCCTTCTGTATGCTGTGAATATATGTTTCTCTTATTAGTTAATGAATAAATGCTGATTGGCCAGTAGCCAGGCAGGAAGACTAGGAGAATTCCGGGAAGAGAAAAGACAGGGAAGGAGCAGGGAGACACCATGTAGCCATGGAAAGAGAAACATGTCAGAGCATTACGGATAAGTCACAACCTCATAGCAATATATAGTTTAATAGAAATGGGTTAATAATTAAGAGACAGCTAGCCAATAA